CAGCATTTTCTGCATCATGACATGCTGATTTTTGTTGTCTATTGGTTTTTTTCTTCTCCGATTTTTGTTATTGGGCAAATGTCTCTAACAATATATTTTTGTGGCGCTGTTACTTAGCTGGTCAAAGTGCCTGTCTTGTAAACAGGAGATCCTGGGTTCAAATCCCAGCAGCGCCTTAGTGTTTGTTTTATAGAGCTAACGAAATGAATTATGAAATTGTATAGCTTTGAGGCGTAATGGATTGTGCAACAAATAGAGTTGAACAACCTCTTAGGTTGCCATTTAAAGACTTGCTGTCTTTTTTTGTCTCTTTGTGCAGAAACAACTTGCCCTCTTTTTTGCGCTGTGGCTTAGTTGGTCAAAGCGCCTGTCTAGTAAACAGAAGATCCTGGGATCAAATCCCAGCACTGCCTAATATACTGGTGCCATGATTGCTTCTTCTTAAGAGTTACGACTGTTTACACAGCGTGCTGTTTAGCAGTCTGTTTCTTAACAAAACTCAAATCCTTAAGAACGCTGCTCGTTCAAGAGGTCTTTGCACAATGGCTTTATATAGCATAGTGTGGTAATGCGTAACCAATTGGACTTTAATATTTCAAGTCGAGACATTCACACATGCAGCGCTACCGTTGTATGTTTTTTTTTTTCTTTTTTCGATTAAACAATTAGCCCCGTTTATGGCTGTCTGGTGCTGTGGCTTAGTTGGTCAAAGCGCCTGTCTAGTAAACCGGAGAACCTGGGTTCAAATCCCAGCAGTGCCTATTGTACAGGTTCCAGGACTGCTTTTTCTTAAGAGTTACGACTGTTTACGCAGCGGGATGTTTTGCAGTCGGTTTCTTAACAAAACTCAAATCCTTAAGAATGCTGCTCGTTCAAGAGGGCTTTGGACGATGGCTTTATATAGCATAGTGTGGTAATGCCTAACCAATTGGACTTTAATATATCAAGTCCAGACATTTACACATGCAGCGCTACGGTTGTTAGGTTTTTTTTCCTCTTTTTTCGATTAAACAATTAGCCCATGTCAACATCATTTGGCACTGTGGCTTAGTTGGTCAAAGCGCCTGTTTAGTAAACAGGAGATCCTGGATTTGAATCCCAGCAGTGCCTTGTCCGCAGTTAGCCATTCTTTCATGGGCCAGAGAGTACCAAAAAGTGATTTCTGTGCAACAGTGCTTGAGGCAGGAGAGCACTCAAGCTCTGTGGTGCAATGTATAGCGCATTGGACTTCTAGGCTGTGAGCTAAGGCTGGGGATTTAATCGGGCTGGGCCAATTGCCCAGGAAGTTAAGCAGTGAGGCCGAAATCATGTTGCGTTTCCACTCTCGCGCTAGTAGCTCGCAGCACGTCACGCAAACCCCGCCCTCATAATGTCCCCCGAATCGAGCGTTACACAACTCGCCCTCTTCAGAGGGAATCAGGCAGATAAAGCACACCATCACATCCTCACGAAACCATTCAAATAAAGACAACTGAAACAAACAAATGACACGTTACTGTACAACATTACATTGTATGTCTATACGCACATGCCTGTCTGTTCTCATTCATCATACTCATTTACTCACCGACCAACTGAATTTGAAACTAATTTTCATGTGAAGCAACACGCCCCTTCACCTACTCCAGAATGCAGCAGCATGAGTGGTCTTCAATGAATTGAAAAGAGCACATGTCACTCCGCTACTCACCCGTTTGCACAGGCTGCCAGTTGCTGCTCGCATCAAATTCAAAGCTCTGATGTTTGCCTACAAAGCGACCTCTGGCTTTGCTCCCTCTTATCTGCTCTCACTTCTGCAGATTTATATGCCCTCAAGAAACTTGCGTTCTGTGAATAAACGTCGCCTCGTGGTTCCATCCCAAAGAGGGAAGTAATCACTTTCCCGAACTCTCGCATTCAATCTGCCCAGTTGGTGGACTGAACTCCTTACCTGTCTGACTCTTCATCCTTCTTTTCTGCTTCATAGCATGTTTAGTTAAAATAAGATCATCATCATATTGTTTTAATTTTTGTTTTGTCCACTTGCAAAACTTACGCAGGTTTCACAATGCATAATCGCTGCGTATTTTTTCGAGGTGTTCCAGAGTTGCAAAAACTTCTAAGTATTTGGAATGTACACTTGCTTTATTAAAATGAAAGAATGTCCAAGACAAAGCTAATAAGTGTCTTATGAGTATATCTACACTAGCAGTGGAATTTACTGGAATTCACCTGAAATCTTGCCTAGGGCTCCAAATTGGTTGGGCCAGACCTAATCATGATCATGCTGGATAATCGCGCGCACACACCTGTTTTAACACACTGCAGCAAATCGATCATTTGAATGGAAGAAGATGTCGGCCTCACTGAAAAGAATTGATTAAGAGAATAGACAGTTCAAAGTTGAATGAACAGATAAGTATGTGTTTATTTTGCCCTAAGCCAGCTCGAATCAGTAACCTTCTTGCTGTGAGGCCATTGTGCTACCCACTGCGTCATGGTGCTGCATCTTATGGATGTTTATTAAAAACAAGTTATGTAATATCAATTGTTTCATATTTGACCTTAATAAAAAAATTCAGATTTGGAACTTTTAATGTAGACATTGAGAACCCCTGTTTCAGCCTATCATTAACAGATAGACCCAGATCATGTGCCTAGAAATCTGCACTGGACTATTTTTTCAGTCTGATTCCCACTGGTTTTATTTTGCACCTAATCGCCCCTGCTATTTATTTACTCTTTGTTTATTTAGAACAAAATTCATCTGACTGTTGATTCCCTGTTAAGACAGCGGTGAAGCCAAATGGTCTCGCTTTGCTGAACCTTTATGTTCTGTGCAGATCTGGGTCAGTCCGCATGAATATGGTTTAATTTTCCACATTGGGGCTGATAACAGAGTTTTCTGGAATTAATGTAAAAAAATGCATTGTCGCCTTGGTAATGTAAGCGTAATTTAAACAAGAAATGTGAAAAAGTGGCATGAGAATAATCTCAAACGCGTGAGTCTTGTAAAATAATAAAAATTCTACATATATCCTCCAATTTTCATTTTAATTTGAAGCAAGCTAACAAAAAATACAAGGCATTTTGTAAAAATGTACCAAAAGTTTAAAATTTTCATTTAACAGTTAATTGTTAATAGAAAAATATATTTGATTAATTATTATTATTATTATTATTATTATTTTACACTTTTTTACTTAGGTGGCACCATGGCTCAATGCTTAGCACTGTTGCCCCACAGCAAGAAGGTCACTGGTTCGAGTCTTGACTGGGCCAGGAGTGTTTCTGTGTGGAGTTTGCATGTTCTCCGTGTGTTGGTTTCCTCTGGGTGCTCCGGTTTCTCTCACAGTCCAAACACATGCAGTATAGGGGAATTTAATTTACTAAAATGGCCGTGGTGTGTGAGTGTGAATGAGAGTAAATGGGTTGCGGCTGGAAGGGCATCCGCTCTGTAAAACATATGCTGGACTAGTTGGCAGTTCGTTCTTTGGCGACCCCTGATAAATAAGGGACTAAGCAAAAAGAAAAATTAATAAATGAGTTTTAAGACTGTCTGGACTCGGCCGGACTCGACTCGGACTCGGATGTTAAGGACTCGGACTTAAGTCCGACTCGACCCCTTTTGGACTCGGACTTGGACTTGTACTCGACTGGTTAAGGACTTGGTCTCGACTTGGACTCGACAAAGGTGGACTCGACCCCAACTCTAATAATCACAACTGTGCTCATTTAGGAGCCGGGGAAGCAAAGAGAAGAAAACGTTCCTGTGAAGATCTTTCACAGAAGCCCCACTCAGACTCTCCACTGTCTGCTGTAAGTTCATCGTTTGTACATCACAATTAGGTGGTGTATATACTCCTGAATACAGTTTTGTGAGCATAGATGGGGAGACTGTGCAAAAAGTATGAATATGTCAATGAAAAAGGTTTTACCTATTATACTTACTTTGTTGAAGGCTCCTGCGTCAACTTATTTATTGGAGGCTCCTGCATCAGCCTCATTAGTTCCTGTCTTTTCTTCTTCATCGGCTCCTGCATCAGCCTCATCAGTTCCTGCCTTTTCTTCTTCATCGGCTCCTGCATCAGCCTCGTCAGTTTCTGCCTTGGGTTCTTCTTCAGCTCCTGCATCAGCTTCTGTGTCAGCTTCTGATGTTCAACCTAGAAGGTCATCTGGTGGGTCAACACACAGTGACCCAGCATATTCTGAGGTAACTGTCAAAGAACTCTGTGAAGATAAGAAAAATTAATACTTTAATACTAAAACTTTAATTGATTTTAACAGTTTTGTCTCGGTTATTCTAATTACCAGGTGTCATTTGAGGGTTGGCACAAGATGTGGGAGTCTGGTCTTCATGGGCTGCCCAGTGCAGACATACTGTGGCTTAAGGAGGATGCTGAAAGGGGACTCTTTCAGAGGGCCATGTCTTATAAAGACAAACATGGAAACAGAAAGTGGAGGAAAGTCCTGAAGGATGACCGGATGTGGTTTCACCCTCCAGAATTTCCTGGAGTGGTGGAAGGAAAAGTCCCCTCAGCAGACTCCTTTTTTCACAGCTCCGTTTTTTTCTGGAGACCAGTCGGTGTGTGGCGTTACAGTCTTCGGTGCCCAAGGTCTGATTGCCCAGCACGCACCAATCAGAAGGCTTTTCTCTACCATTGTGGGTATTCATCCACGGTAAGACAGATCTGCCACATGTCTGGCTGGTACTCCATGCTGACTGAGGTCCTGGCATGCAACGCCTGTAGAAAGGCTGCAAAGGAGTCAGAAGAGCATACTATTGGTCGTTTCCTGTCATGGGATCAGTGCATCCTTAATCAGCTCAGTTCAGCTCACAGAGCGGTGTTTCCTGCTGTCTTGACGCTACGGTGAGTCTCTAGCAGAATACAAATCATTGTGAAATTATGCAGAGTCTTAAAAAGAGTTAAGATTCACCATCCTCTAATGATTGTCTTGCTCCTATGATTCTAGGCGTGGCGTGGACAAGCAGGTGATCCGCCTGATGAGGGTCACACTGAGGGAAACACCATGGTGAAGGTTTGGAGACAGGTGCAGGAGAGCCACTGCGAGGGCTATCTACAGAGAAAGGACTTGTACACCACTCTTCTCAGCCAGTACAACAAACCTGGGAAGATCACTCGTAAGTCAGAGTTAATTGTTTTCTTTAAGGGATAGTTCACCCAGAAATGAGTAGTTTTAAACCTTTATGAGATTCTCTCTTTTGTTAAACACAAAAGAAGATATTCTGAAGAAAGCTGAAATCCTGTAACTATTGACTTCCAAAGTATTTGTTTGTTTGTTTTTTTACAATGGAAGTCAATGGTTACAGGTTTCTGACATTTTTCTAAATATCTTGTTTAGTGTTTAAAAGAAACCCATAATGGTTTAAAATCATTAAAAGGATCAGCAAATGATGACAGAATTATTATTTTTAAATTCCTATCCTTTTGAGCATTTATTCAAAGATTAAGCAGCAAAGTGTCTGTTTTCTCTGCTTTTAGGGAGTTTGTGCCAGCAGTTCCAGCGACCACCAGCACGGAGAGAGCCGCCATCTGCCAGACTGATGAGAAAGGCGTTCCTTATCTCAGAGGCAGATAACATCGAGGACTACCGTACTCAGATTATGTCCACATTTGGGCAAGTCCTGAAGTACGACTCCACCAAGAAGGTAAATTTAACACAATGGAAAAAAAGTCAGTTTGTAAACGTATTGCTAAACCTTTTTACTGTTATTCTTTCAGGAAATCCTTTATCAGAGAGATTTTATCCTTAAAATATTATTGTCCACTTTTGCATCATGGGACATTTTAATCATTAATTATAAATGACAATTGATAAGTAAAGTATTATTAATTGTTTAATAATAAATAATTATCAATAAATTAATATCTAATATGGGTTACTAGTGCTTTAAAATTTGTCACCATCACACGCACCAGATTATTAATCATACTTACCTACCTCTTTGTGTGTCGTTTTCTTCACTTCAGGTTTCCTCTTGCATGCTCTGCATCCGAAATCTAATGAGCTGCAATGCAAAAACACATTATTAATTCATTTCTGAATATTAGTGACTATTGCTTTCTTGGTCTGGTGCAGAAAAAAAAATACAAAATACAAAAATGTTTAAATCTGTTTGTGTTGTATTTGTTATCAGATCTGCAAGAAACTCTCCGGCGATGGAAAAGGCACTGCAGAGTGGTGTACCAATGTGGCCAACGAGCACGGGCAGATCCTCATATCTGTTCTCACCTGTGAGGAGTCATTGGAGAAGATGAGGCCGATGGCTGAAGGCCTCATGGAGAGGTACAGGAGAGCTGACGAGGCACCGCCCGAGCTCATGTATGTGGATCGTGGCTGCTGTCGCGTCCACGCCGTGTCCTCGGTTGAGCAGCTCTTCAGTGACTGGACGGACAGGGGCATGCTGGTACGGCTTTCATTGGATCCATCGATTCGATGCAGCCCTACGGACAGATCATCATCCAAAGTATGCCCTGTTCAAGTCTGCCCTCTCTGCTGCCGTCTTTGCCTACAACAAAGACGACATGGCTCTTCCGGTACAGGCGATACGTGCCGGTCACCCAACCAACTATGCCTCCCTGACTGACAGCCAGATCATCGAGCTGCGTGTCAGTAAATATGACCTCAGCCATTACGTCAGGAGGATCACAGTTGGTGCACAGGAAACATGTGCGTGCGTGCAGTGCACCATTGATCTCCTAAAGGGAGCCGCAGGGATGGATGAGAACCAGGTGCATCTGTTTAAGGACTCTTCAGCCACCGACGACGTCCGGGAGAACCAGAAGAAGCACCTTGAATGCATCCAGGATCCACCAGGGAGGAACATGTACACCATCACCAAGTATGTGACCCGTAACGGTGTTCGTCTTGCGCGGTACAGTACGGTGAGAGGAAGCAACAGTCTGGAGGGCTTTCATTCCTTTCTGCCTGACATGATCCCTGGACCCCACTGTGCTGCCATCCCGTTTCAAGTCTCTCTGCTGGCTGGCATCGCACGCTGGAACTCTAACAGGGAGTCAGCCAGCGTCCAAGGGCGGAAAGGGAGGAAACATATGGTGTACATGTCTCCTCTGGTCCATCGCCTAAACTAAAGGTGCCAGGAGCTATTTGGGGAGGTGGAGGAGGCAAACTACAGGCCTCCGGTTCCTGCTGGTGATGAGCGCATTGGTCTGGAGTACCTGTTTTCCCATTCCTCAGAGCCCTTCAGTGCTCCTGATCATTACGCTCAGACTAGAGAGACACTTCAGGCAGATGAGGATGAGGACGAAGATGTTCCTGCTGGGGAAGAGGAAGAGCCGCAGGAGAAAGGTGATGATGTGGGCTACTCCTCAGACCGCGAGAGGGACAGCCTGACTCCTCTGAGGAACCGTCTGTGCCTCACCGATCAGGCAGTGACTGCTGAATTTGACCCCTGTATGGAGGACGTGTGCGGTCCCAATCATCTGCCTGGGTACCAGCACGTAGAGGATCTGTGTAAAGTCCTTGTTGAGATCGCCCTGGAGGAAGGAAAACTTGCCTTAAATGAGTCGACCAGGCAAAAGGTCATCAGCGCCTGGAACAAGCTTGACCTCCATGACCGCAGCATCCAACAATTCGACAGCCTCTACTCTGCACGCTGGGGCAATGCTCTGTTTGGCCGCACCAGTGGAGATCCGACTGAGGCGTCCCTGGTGCAGAAGCTCAAGTTCAGCAAGCGGTACTCAGCCGCACACTTGGTGGACTCCAGAAAGAACCGGCTGATGTACTGCCTGGTCAAACAGCTGTGGCTTCATCCTGGTGTTGGAGGAAAAGCTAAAGGGTCACCGCTGAAACAGCAGATCACTAAACTGTACCAGCGTGTGCAGCAGAGAGTGACGGTGGACGATGATCAGCTCAGCAAACTCGGGATTCCCATCCTGAAAATAAATTCAAAGTGCGTGAGCGAGTTCATCAGGAGGCAGGAGGCACTGTCAGCCACAAACGTCACCGACCAGGGTCTGTCTGTCCTCCGTCGTCACCAGAGCGTCTCCAGCACCAGCCAGCCCCCCGCTGAGGAGCTTCCAGAGGAAAGACCCCATACCAGCCGGCCTGCAGTGCAGTATCCCATCACCACTTCTCTGGCCGGCACCCGAAAGTTGAAGCAAAGGTTCCCGCAAATCTTACCTGTCCCTCCCTCTGCTCTTGCTCAACCAGTTCCTGCGCCGGCCCATTCGATGCCCGCAGGACTCCGGCACACACACACTCCGCTGACTGCACCTCCCGCTGTTTCCTTGCCGCAGGCATCCACTCCGCTAATGTTGCCCTCAAGATCAACAGTCTACAAGAGGAAAAAGGCAGAACTCAGTGGCTCTGGACATCCAACCTCAGTGAAGGTTTACATCTGTGCTCTGTGTGGCCAACCAACTCAAGGCCACAAGAAATACAGAAAGAAGAGCTACTGTGAGAGCTCCAAAGCCTCCACGTCCACAAACCTTGCTGGGCAGACGTTTGACTGTTTTGAAGACTTTAAAAGGGCTGTGGACGTTCTCTTGGGCTCTCAGTCTCAGGCCTCCGAGTCTGTCTAACTGGACCTCTATCCATGTTGCGGTTCATAGTTCTTGACTTGTAACAGTATTATTGTTGCAAAAATGGATATGTTATAATAACAGTTGGTTGTTTGAAAGTTTACAGTGTTTTACACTAATCTGTTGATTGTTGTAACACTGGTATTGATGCAAAAATGTATGTTATAATAACAGTTGATTTTTTAAAAGTTTACAGGTTTTTACGGTTTGCACTAATTTGTTGACTGTTTTTTACACTTATTGTTGCACAAATGTTCGCAATATTAACAGTTGACTGTTTCAGAGTATACATCGTTTTATACTAATTTGTAGATTGTAACTTATTGTTAATTTACAAAAGTTAAGCTTTTTTTTTTTTTTACAGTTTGCACTAATTTGTTGATTGTTGTAGAAACAAATTTTATATTAACATTTGACTGTTTAAGTTTACAATGTTTTACACTAATTTGTTGATTGTTGTAACACTGTTTTGTTCCAGAAATGTATGTTATATTAACAGTTTATTGTTTTACAGTTTACAGTATTTCTTTAATTGTTTTCTTGTTTTTATTTATTTATTTATTTATTTATTTATTTATTTATGTATTTATTTATGTTTATTAAGTATATATTATCATAATGTTATTTAAAGTACTTTAATATAATTATTTTATTTAATTATTTATTTATTATAAAATTTTAGTAATAAAAAATATAAAATTATGTTATTTAAAGTACTTTAATTATTACTTTGTGATAACTAATGTTGCTTTATATACTTTAATTGTTAGCTTAGTTTTTTTTTTAAGAGGATTTAATTTTTTATTTTTATTTTTTTTATATCTAAATGCTTGACCTGGCAGTATTTTTTTATGTATACAAATATATTCTTATATCTATAACTGCTATCAGTAATATTAAAACTAATGATTGTAATAGTAATGTGTTTTTTATTATGTACAAAGTATATCTATAGTATACATTTTTTTATGTCAGGCAGGTCTAACAATATGTTTAGAACTTTTCTTTTGCACTTTTAATAAATTTGGATAATAAAATACAATCTCGTGTTTTTTTTTGTATGTGTTGGAAGGACTTCATTGGTTTTTAAAAATTGACTAAATCTTCTGATTTTGAATTTAATTTAGAATCATTATCTGAGTCTATGACAATAATATGCAGTAGATTTTAATAGTAACCTCTGGTACAGGCGCTCTGAAAAGTCTATTGCTCCTCTGTGTTTTTCCAAGTCCAGCTCTGGAGTCGATGACAGCTTATCCTGTTGCCGTCAGATGGGATGCCAGTGGATTCATCCTTAAACCACATTCCAACATCAAGCTCCACCTGCAACACACAAATACAAAAACAGTACATTATTCAAATATCCTATGCCATTACACTCTCAAAATAGAACTGTCGTAATTTGTTACAAAGTAGTTAGTTACTATAATTAAAATACTTACCCAGTAACAAAGTAAGGGATTATTATTCATTTTATGTAATTATATTACTGCTATTAGAAATATGATGGTATATCTGTATAATATAATAGAACAGATGCTAAATATTTCCATTTTTTGTTATACAAACAAATATTTTTTTTAATATTTAAGAATAATTCTACTAAACATTATGCATTTATAAAAAAGTTTGACCTTTAATTACTACTATTACATATGAATATTTTATTTATAGAACTGATATTACATATATTAATTTATATATTCCATTTGTTGAGGTTTATGGGGATTTTGAGTGAACCATAAAAAGTAATTTAATTTAAAAAGCAACTTAAATTTTAATAACAAACTTATTAAATGATCATTTCATGGTTCACTTTTATGCACAGTTAGGGTTGTTTGCTTTAATTTCAAAAGCACCACAGCATATGCAACGTGTCCTGACAGTTACTACTATTTGTTTTGATGACATCACCATGGGGGTTGTTCACTCGCAAAAGCAGTTCATTCATGGTTTGCTGAAACTCAATCAACCAATCAGGTGCTGTAATTGCCTACAGATCTAAAATGAAATTTGCACGCCGTACAGGTCGATCGCCATTCGCAGGGGTCAGCGTGGCCGGAGTGCAATGGCCAAGCCTCGCCCTGGGTGAACCACCTTCTTGATCATGGTATCTCCCCTGCCAGGTAAGTATGAGTTGCCGGGCGGCGCAAATGGCAGCCGCCGTTTTCTATCGGCCGTACTCCAGGGCGGTGATGCCCAGCCACCGAGCATGGGGAATGGGCCAGCAACCCCTGTCTCCTGACGGCGCTGTACTTGCAGCAGACGTGCCTGTGCCTGCAAACCACTCGCTAGTAACTGTGGCAACGCATGAAGAGTTTGAGCTTCCTCCAGATGCTTGCTTTGTGTTTTGTCATCAGTTGGGGCTGCCAACACATGGATTCCACCGGACGCACTCGACCTGGGGATAACAGACCCTCTATGGGGGGAGGGGAGGGGATCCTCCTGTTCTTTCTTTCTTTTCCTCCATCTGTTTTCTTTCTCTACAGATGCCGTTTTTCTCTGCTTAGTTTCTGATTTGGTCTATTTGGACATGTCGACCTCCTGCTTTGCTGCGGTTCGGACCGCCTTTGCCTAGAGCTCCGTGCTTTGCACTCTTGCCTTGTATGTTTTGTGTCCTGTTTTCTCACGTCAGCCTATCAGCACAGTGCTCAAACGACATAGCTTGAAGAAGACGAGGGGATCTACAAACGTTCCGCAAAAGAACTTCACTGACGAAAGCGGAAGCGCTAACGAAACAACCTCCCGCTGCAAGCACCTTACATTCCTGGGACGGGAAACCACCGACGGCTGGCTGCGAAATTGCCTCTGGTTCAGATTGGTTTAGAACCGTCCCTCTGCCCAAAAGGCCACAGACGTCTGCAAAAGATTGCAGTTCTTGAAACAAAGTTACCTCTGATCCGAGCAGAAGCGTTCGCTTACTTAATGGCAGATAAAATGATGACCTTTCACACGGTCTGCATTCGTTCCGTCAGTAACAGCGGCAGGCCGGTAAAAATAAAATTCTGACATTCCACAGGGCACACTCGCTTGGCGGACAAAAGCCACCGGGGGCTCTCTTTGCGTGTTCCTTCACCTGGTCAAACCGCTTTGAGGGGGGACCTTCGAGTAGTTTTCGGCGTCAG